GAAGTTAAGTTAGGTCATTGTCCAAGGTGACACAGGTGGTGAATGGTAGAGTTGAGCCTCAAAACCCAGGCCAGACATCAAAAATTCATACTTTTACCAACTTCACCATACTCCTCCTCCCCAGAACCCACTAAATCTTGGTTGAAAACAAGGACATGTCAACTTGAGCTTTCTTCCTAAGTCAACTTTCAGTGCTGAGAGAATGTTCATGCAATATTTTTATTTAGTAAAGACGGAAATGGAAGCTGAAATAACAAACCGAAACATTCAAAACAGGAGAATAGTCTCAGCCCAAATACTACTGTTGCTGAGGTTTAGTTACATGTAATGAGAGAATTTTGAAAATTACTAGAAAGAAAACTAAATCAACTGACAGAAGCTGCTGCTCCCACCTAAAGCCCACAACCTGGACACTTCTGATTTAGCATCAGATTTAGCATCAGCATGTCTCCAGCCAGAGGCTTATTACAGAAGGAGAATTATTCAGTCTCTGTGATCATGCCAGAAATTCCTCAAGTTCTGCAGAACAATCTCTCATGAAACGAGAGCCAACAATTTCTTAAATGTCTCTGGCATTTAAGAGAAATCGTGAACTTTGCCGGACTCTAATGGATGGGAGAAACATACGAAAGGCTCAATTTCCCCCTTTCTCGTCCTCTAATAGCTATCACTCTCCATTCTCACCCTGTATTAGCTGTTCGGTTTCTTCCCCTCACCCCTACTTCCTGGTAAATAATTCGGAGTGGGACAGGTCCTTTTAGACCACCTAATATGATACCCTACCCAACATCTGAATCTACCATACACACCCAGGAGACTGTCAAACAACTCATATATTAAAACTTCAAGATGGACCACTGCACTCCCTGCAAGGGCAGGCAATACCCTCTCTGAGCAGATCTGTTAGGACAGCTCTTTGAACTGAAATCTGTCTTCCTATAAATTCCACACATAGACTTAATCCACTGGGACTACATGAAAGGAATCAAATCTTTTCTAACAAGACAATGCTTCAGTTGTTTGAAGACAACTCCCATGTTCCTAATTTATTGCTTTTTGAAGACAAATATTCCTAGTTGCTTTAATCTTGCAAGACAGAGAAAAATAATAATGTCTCAAAGCAGTGAATTTATCAGATTATATGATTTAAAAACCTGGGAAACAAATACTAAAACAATGCTATTGGCATTCCATTAAATGCATCACTTCATTCTTGTTACACATTTTTCAAAATGAAAAGGGCCAGGCACTTGGGTCACACCTGTAATCCTAGCACTTTGGGAGGCTGAAGCAGGAGGATTGAG